AAGAAAGAATGAGAGAAACACAAGATTGAAGGGGATTTTCACATTGGATTGGATCAAAACATTTAATTTTTTACACAACACTAAGGAAATAAGGTAGGGGTTTCTTCCTAATCTTGTCCATTGAGGCTAGGGTTTATATATATGTATGTTTTGATTCTCAATCATAGATATTTGTTATGAAATCATTGTTTTTTGATGTTCTTGCAAATCATACCATGTTTTGAATGAAGTTAAGGTTTGATAGCCATAAATCCTTGTTTTTTTTATCTCAAAACCCTTGTTTTCAAGAAATAGAGATGTTTCCCTTTATATTCCATTGTTCTTGATTCAAAAATTCTAGTGCTTTATTTGGAACAATAAAATTATATCTTTTGATGATCTCTTGTTTATTTTCTTGAATTGTTATATTGGAATAACACGTGGAATTTGGGGTTCTTACTTTACTTGTGATTTAAGAAATTGGTGGAGTATTTTATCTCATGTGTGAATGTTTGGATGAACATGGGTGACCGTTGACCAGGTATTATAGAGTGGGTAGATGCGTTTTTTACTCTGAGTGGTTTGAAGATTCCCTATCACTCATAGTAGGGTTGGTGTCTTACAAGGACCAAACCACTATTCTTTCACGTGGTATCGAGACTGGGGGTTAGTATTCTATTCCTGGGTTGGATCGTCACTGTCAATGTGTCGGTATACACCTTTCCTAAAGTTTGTCATCCTTACAAGGATTGTGTGTGTATGTGTGGGCCAAAATATTCTCAATGTGTGTATTCATGCGAAGTCTTACTTCCTACTTGAGATACAATTGGGCATAATGATACAAAATTATTAAGAATGATATAAAATGCTAGAAATTGTTCATTGTTGAAAGTTAGTTTTACTTCTTCATTTAATTTATTGATACTGCGTGAACTTGAGATCTGATGAACTGTCACTGTTTTTTTTCAAAAGTTATATATGATATTTGTGAAATGAGACCGATTTATTTTATATGTTTTTAAAACCTTGTTCGATCTTGGAATGATTTTCCTACAAAGCTTAATGTTCATCCCCTCTTTTTCAGATTATGGTTTAGAGGAAGAGCTCGGAGTTGATGAGCAAGTGGATTGGAAAACCCAGATTGATGGAAACAGGGATCCCGAGGTAGACATTTAGAGCTATTTCCCTTATGTTCTAGATTGGGGGGGGCACATTTTGAGATAATGTTAAGGTTAATATTTTCTTTATTCCGCTACAAGATAATAGTTAATTTTTGAGATGTAATCGTCACAGTGTGACATAATTATTTTGGATGATGTTTTAATTATTATGGATGACGAAAGAAAATTCGTTTATTTATGAATTTTGTTAGTTGCTCTCATTATACGAATGGTTATAGATAATAATGCCTCCCAGGGTGGATTTTGGGGTATTACAAACAATGTTCACTCCTGAAGCATCTATGTAGAAAGAAACTGTAAACAGTGAAATTGAATCCATCATGTAAAATCACACTTGAGAGTTGGTAGATCTTACTCTAGGGAGTATACCATTGGAGTGTAAATGAATTTTAAAGAGGAAAATAAAAATTGATAGATCAATTGATAAGTACAATTGTAGTTAAAGGTTACAAACAAAAGGAAGATTTTGATTACTTTGATGCGTATTCTCCTGTCACGAGAATAATATCTACTCGTATGCTCATAGCTATTGTAGCATTGCATAATCTTGAGATACACCAAATGAATGTGAAAATAACTTTCTTAAATGGTGATTTAAAAGAGAAAATTTATACGAACCAACCCGAAGGATTCGTTTCTCTGGGACAAGAGAAGAATATATATAGACTTGTTAAATCACTTTATGGTTTAAAGCCAACACCAAAATAATGACATGAGAAATTTGACAAGGTAATGATGTCAAATGGTTTGACAATTAATGAATGTGATAAATGTGTCTATGTCAAAGACACAAATAATGGATATGTCATTGTTTGCCTATATATGGATGATATGTTTATTTTAGGTAGTAATAATAATATTATTACAACTACTAAGAAAATGTTGTCCAGTAAGTTTGACATGAAGGATTTGAGTGTTGCAGATGTTATACTAGGAATTAAAATTTCTAGAACATTTGGTGGACTTATATTATCACAATCACATTATATTGAGAAAATATTTGAGAAGTTCGACAAAGATGAAAACAGTATTGCTAGAACACTAGTTGATATAAATTTTCATTTGTCTAAAAATACTGGTCAAAGCATATCACAATTGAAATATTATCATATTATTGACAGTCTAATGTATATCATGAACTGCACTAGGCCGGATATAATATACTCAGTTAGTAAATTGAGTAGATATACGAGTAATCCGGGATTAGACTATTGAAAGACAATTATCAGAGTTCTTAAATACTTAAGATATACCCTAAATTATGGATTGCACTATATAAGATATCCAGCTATAGTTGAAGGGTATAGTGATGCAAACTAGATATCTGATATGAAGGATACAAAATTCACAAGTGGTTATATTTTTACACTTGGTGGTGCAGCTGTATTTTGAAAATCCTCTAAGCAAACGTGTATTGCCAGATTCACAATGAAATCTAAATTTATTGCTTTAGATGACCTAAACCTGTGCCAATAATTTGTATACATTGTGATAGTTAATCTATAATTGGTAAGGCACAAAGTAACATGTACAATGGTAAGTCTAGATATATACGTTGTAAACATAATATCGTTAGGCAATTATTCTCAAATGAGATTATTTTTATTGATTATATAAAATTAAAGGATAATCTAGCGAATCTGCTTACTAAAGGTTTGACGAGAGAGCAAATAAATTGCACATAGAAGAGAATGGGGTTAAAGCCTATGACTTAAGATTCACCTAACCTAGTTGACAGAAGATCCTAAGATCTAGGTTCAAAGGGACAACCGAATTATACGTCATTCAAAAGAAGTACTAAGGAGATGATCTCTCCTACCTATTCTTATGATAAACTAGTGTTGCTTCTAGAGTTTATTAGGATAGGTTATGCTTTTAATGACTTTTATATTTGAAAAAAATTCAAGTGAGATATTACAAGATATTCCTAATAGGGGTCACCTATATGGGTATGAAGGGGTCGTTTCTGTGAAAATTTATAAAGGCTGAATTCTCTAAAACGCTCATAAAAATCAAGAGGTGTTTAGGGCCAAAATGAACACAATCATTCAAACCAATTGTGTTAGAAAAGAAACTGTGTGAAGTCTATTCAATTTGATCTATCAAACAATCGAATAGTTCAAGACACGTTCACTATTTAGCCAATAAATCTGATGGGCTTTCACTAGAGAAAGTTCAAGGCCAAATACTACATATCTTGATGCACGATCTTTCCAAAGATATACTGTTTATAGTGTGTCAGTGTTATCATTTGCATACCAACAACCAATTTTTCATTCATGTGGGGGATTGATAGACCAAAACAGTTTTTGAAGTGCAAAAACTAAATTTTTTGATCGACTTTGAGTCTAAATTGAAGTAAAATTTGACACTAATTTCACATTAGTTGAGGAAGAAATTCTATAAGGGCATATATAGGTCAAATTTGTTCTATGAGATTGGGCTCCAAGGGGTACCACAGTTTTATGAGCGGAGCGAGCGCCTACATACCTTCGATTCTACCATACATGTGCGTACCCGTACAGCCCGCTTGCCTCGCCACGCCACGACCCACCCCTGTAGGGCACGCGCACGGGTGTGGGTGTGGTTTAGACCAATCCCTATCTTTTTAGAGAAAATTCGTTTAATTAATGTGGTGTGAATTTCTTAATCCAAAATTTAATTTTCGGTTGCTTCCCTCAAGTCCAAAATCTGAGTTGTCTCTGTTCATAGAGAATAGTTACACAAGTTGTGTCTTCCGCCTGCATGTGTCTATTGGGTTACATTCGTTCATATGGTGACTATCCAGATCAATCACCATTCTCTTTATAAATAACTTAGTCACATAATCATTTTGTATCCAATACATTCATAGTCATTTAAGGTAGTCCATACATCATCAAGGTAGTCTGCATTTTGGAGAGTACACAACACAATTTCTGATTCGCTGGACGGGTAAATACAAGTGCTACTTCTACTTGTGTGAATATCATTGTACCTTAGGAGGCAGATGCTTTATATTCCATATGTGCCGTGTGTGGGGCGAAATCTATCTTAAAAATATATTGTCAAACACTAGCATTGATTTACATAAAGTTCAATAACAGTTTCTATTCTGCAACTAGGTCGGTATTTATATTAGTTTGACAAATAGTTACATGTAACTGTTTCTTTAAGACTATTGTAAATGTTTCATTAATTCTTCTGTAACTATTTCACATTTGACTGTTACTGTTTTATTCTATTACAGTTTTATTCTAAGTTACAAAATATCATAAATTTCAATAAGTGATTTTACTGTATTTAGAATACCACAAACGACAATCACATCAAAAATTGGGTTTAGATTTGTGTTATTACAAGGATGGATGGTAGGTGATTTAAGTGTTTTTGATTTGAATCTATTATTTACAGTTTTTTAATGCATCTGAAAGCAATTTTTTTTAAGTGAATGCTTTGTTGGTTGCCATTTTATAATAAATAGTTGGGGATCCATATGTATTCCGTGTTCCCTTATCTGAGACAAATGTCTCTTTGTTTAATAGCATTAGTTTAGATTTTAGATTTTATAATTATGTGGTCCAACACATGATATTGTTGTTTATTTTATGACGGATTATGATGCTTTCACAATAAAGATCCATTATGGTAGTGAATTTAAGGAAACACTAGTTAAGGTATATGAAGGTGGTAAGGTTGATATAGTTGGTGGACTTGATCTAGAAAATTTATATCTGCTAGATTTGGATGATATCGTTGAAAATTTAGGTTACCCATTGTATGTGGTTTTTTTATTATAAAGTCTCTGAGAAAGTATGGAATTAGAGTTGGTACACATAAAGTCTGATAAGAAGTTTGGAAATGATTGAATGTGTACCAACAAATAGGGTTGTTGTGATGTATCTAGTCCACCCAGGTGGCTTACCACATAGAAGTCAGGTTGTTGATGATAACTCACACGAAGGGAAGACAGTCTCAAATTCACAGTCAGGTTCTGAATATGTGTTTGAACTCGAGTTAGCATTAGATTCAAGTGATTATGAAGATTTAATGGATGAGTATGGTATGTGTAATGACGATGATGAATTATATGACAATAACATAGATGTAGANCTATCTTAAAAATATATTGTCAAACACTAGCATTGATTTACATAAAGTTCAATAACAGTTTCTATTCTGCAACTAGGTCGGTATTTATATTAGTTTGACAAATAGTTACATGTAACTGTTTCTTTAAGACTATTGTAAATGTTTCATTAATTCTTCTGTAACTATTTCACATTTGACTGTTACTGTTTTATTCTATTACAGTTTTATTCTAAGTTACAAAATATCATAAATTTCAATAAGTGATTTTACTGTATTTAGAATACCACAAACGACAATCACATCAAAAATTGGGTTTAGATTTGTGTTATTACAAGGATGGATGGTAGGTGATTTAAGTGTTTTTGATTTGAATCTATTATTTACAGTTTTTTAATGCATCTGAAAGCAATTTTTTTTAAGTGAATGCTTTGTTGGTTGCCATTTTATAATAAATAGTTGGGGATCCATATGTATTCCGTGTTCCCTTATCTGAGACAAATGTCTCTTTGTTTAATAGCATTAGTTTAGATTTTAGATTTTATAATTATGTGGTCCAACACATGATATTGTTGTTTATTTTATGACGGATTATGATGCTTTCACAATAAAGATCCATTATGGTAGTGAATTTAAGGAAACACTAGTTAAGGTATATGAAGGTGGTAAGGTTGATATAGTTGGTGGACTTGATCTAGAAAATTTATATCTGCTAGATTTGGATGATATCGTTGAAAATTTAGGTTACCCATTGTATGTGGTTTTTTTATTATAAAGTCTCTGAGAAAGTATGGAATTAGAGTTGGTACACATAAAGTCTGATAAGAAGTTTGGAAATGATTGAATGTGTACCAACAAATAGGGTTGTTGTGATGTATCTAGTCCACCCAGGTGGCTTACCACATAGAAGTCAGGTTGTTGATGATAACTCACACGAAGGGAAGACAGTCTCAAATTCACAGTCAGGTTCTGAATATGTGTTTGAACTCGAGTTAGCATTAGATTCAAGTGATTATGAAGATTTAATGGATGAGTATGGTATGTGTAATGACGATGATGAATTATATGACAATAACATAGATGTAGATGCAGAATAGGGTGGGGTGGGGTGGGGTGGGTTTATAAACAATGTAGAAGGTCAGATAAGGGTTGAGGTTAGAAACAATACACACGGTCAAGAAAGGGTTGAAGGGACTTTTAATATGGATGATGAAGAGCATGATGAGGATATTAACTTAGAGCCTAGATCCTTAGTTGATTTGGAAAGTTTGGATGGTTCAATCTGAAGATGATATTGAGAAACCAAAAAAGCAAAAGTTCAAGCATTTTAGGCCTGAAACTGACATGAGGAATCTTGAGTTCAGTTTGGATATGTGTTTTAATTCATCAATTGAGTTGAAGGTTGGAATTAGAAAACATGTAGTTAAAATTCAAAGGAATGTTAAGTTGGTTAAGAATGACAGAAAAAGGGTTAAAGTCACTTGTAAGTAAGATTGTAAGTGGTTGTTATATGCTTCAGAAATACGCGGTAAGGTGGGATTACAAGTGAAGGCTTTTGTCAACAAACATACATGTGGTAAGACACATAACAATATGAACATTAGCTCTCGGATGATAGCTGGAAAGTACATGGAAGAATTCAGAATTAATCCAACCTGGCCCTTGGCTACAATGGGGGATAGGATCAGTAAAAGAATTGAAGTTAGGTGTGTCAACTAGTTTACTTTACAGAGATAAAAAGGAAGGCAATGTATATGATTCATAGGAGTGATGTTGAGAAATATGCCAAGTTGTGGGATTAGTGCGAAGAAGTTAAGAGCACTAACCCTAGATCAACTATGGTCATCATGGCACAACATTATGAAGATGTAGGAAAACAAAGATTTCAGAGAATTTATGTGTGTTTGGAGGTATGCAAGAGTGGGTTACTGGAAGGGTGCAGGCCTTTAATTGGGGGATGTTCTATTAAGGGTCAGAATGTCAATTGTTAGTTAAAGTGGGTATTGATCCCAACAACTGTATCTTTCAAGTAGCTTATGCAGTAGTTGAGATCGAAAACAAAGATTCATGGGCTTGGTTCATTTGATGCATTATTTGTGGATAACACAACCACAACAATTGAATTTCTTAATAGATAGACAAAAGGTAAGTGCTACAAGTTTAAAAGTCAATTTTGTTACTTCTCATGCTTGACATGTTAAAAAATAACATTTTTTGGTCTCATTTTGTAGGGCTTACTTCATGCAATGCATGAATTAGTGCCAGAAGCAAAACATAGGCACTATGTGAAGTACTTTAAGATGAATTTTAAAAAACAATTCAAGGGGTTAGCATTAGTTGCTAGACTTTGGAAATGTGCACATGCAATTACTTTTCAGAAGTTTAGTGTAGAGATGGAATTACTTGAAGAGGAGAATAAGGAATCATTCAAGTGGTTGGCTAATGTACCACCTAGGGTTTGAAGTAGGTCACACTTTAGGACAAGGACTTTGTGTGATCTATTGGTAACAATGTGTGAAAGCTTCAACGCAACTATCATACCTGAAAGAGATATGCCCATTTTGGAGTTACTTGAGAGGGTGAAAGCATACATTATGAATAAAATATTACTTAGAAGGGAATTCAAGAGAAAATACCAAGTTGTAGATTAGTTGTTGAGAAAAAAATATCAGGTTAGGTCCCCTTATGGAGACCAATGTACTATACACTTGAGTGATAGTGCATGTTTATGTAGGAAATGAGATTTGATAGGAACCCTACTCTCATGCAATTGCTTGCATTTATGATAAAATGTCTAGAACCAGAATTCTTCATTTGTGAAGGCTACAATAGAGAGGCTTACTTAAGGGTTTATAAGCCAATGATCCAACCTATGAATGGGTACAATCTATACTACACGACATGATTACCCCCAATCACTCCTCCAGTACAAAGTAAGCAACTTGGTAGGCCTAAGAAACCTAGGTGAAGGGGTCTACATGAGACTACTACAAAGAGAAGTACAAGACACAATTTGAGAAAAACTGGACAGGATTTAGTTTTATGTCGACGATGTGGGAAGAGTGGGCATAATAAGAGAACATGTACAATTATGTTTCTTGAAGTTTCTAATGCTTCAACTCAAGAGGGTAATTCTAACGAGCAAGCGTCACATGTTGCTCAGGGAAGAGGAAGAGGGCAAGCAATTGTTGGTGAGGGAATTGCTGGTGTTAAGGGTAAGGGAAGACAACATGGCACTGTTGGTGAGGGAAAGGGAAACAAAGGAGGGAGGGGAGGAAAACAACCTGCTAGTGAGAGAACATGACAACAACCTACTAGTGAGAGAACATAAACTTCAACAGGCATGAAATCCTTCATATGGAGAAGGCAAAATGCGTGTCACCCTTTCAGCACTTCAAGCTTCAGCAAGAAAATGAAATTCAAACGAATGATGGATGTTTTATTTTGTTCATAGCATTGTGTGAAGTTTTCTAGTATTTTGTAATATTTGGTGCTTAAGAGACTAAATGTGATCTTTTGTAAAGATCTTTTTGTCAAGTCTCATAGCTTTTGTTAATATCCTTTTGTCAAGTGCCATTTTTGTAATGACAATAGTAATGAAACAATTACTTTTGGTATAGAGCTAAAAACTTCTCATACATTACATAACTTGCTTTTGGTACATAGTTAATAGTTCGTCACACAAAGCCACAAAGATTACATAGCCAAAAAAATAGTTGCTTTGTCACCCATTACACAACCACATACATCATGATCACCCCACTAATCGCCAAAATGGCCCAAAGACACCTCTCTTTAGCTTTAGCTTTTTCTAGTTGATTTTCCTTCTGCCAAATTGACCTTAATAACCCAAAGATAATAGACTTCGATCTTTCACATATTGGGGGATCATATCACAGAAAAACGCCAAAACCACCAGCATCCTATACAAACAAAATTAAACAGGCTTGAAAATTAGGGAGAATTCTAACACACAAAAACCAAGAAGTACCTCATATGTGTGACCAAACTAGCTTGACCCCATATGCTTGACAACCAATAAATCTTCTTCCATGGTTCGAATCAGTCCATGAAGTTCTCAGTTGAGTTGGTCGACCACAGTAGCACACAACAATCGTTTTTTCTTCTGCGGGTGTTTTTTCACTTTGTTTTTGTTATGTACCTATTTTCCATATATTTATTTTATGAAATATTAGAGGTAGTTAGTAGTTAATTGGAGGATATGTAATAGTGGGTTAGTGATAGAGTATTTTGTGGGTAGTTTTCTAGGTGGTTAATAAGATAGTGAAGTCATGAGTTATGTTAGTTATTAAGGTAGTTTTTATCAACTTGTATTTAAAGGTTTTTCTATCAATGGAAATGATATATTGAATATTGTATTAAACTTTCTTGTGGTAGTTTTGGCTATAGTTTTTTCTCGAATTGAGTCATTAGAGATTTCCACCCCCTTGAAGCAGGTTTTCTTCCTCGATTCTATTTTTAATTTATTTTCTAACTTCCTAAAAGTGTGCATGTAATAATTGGTATCAGAACCAAGCACAGAGGACCGAGTTGATCGACTTGAAGCGAAAGTTCACTCATTAATTACCGAGCAAGAGAGGATGATGAAAAAGATCCTCGAAGTATTTCTCCCTATGAATGCTCGCTTTGATTAGTTAGAGGCTGCCAAATTTAATAATCATGAGCAAGGCGATGGCTCAGCCCATCACAATTATCGAGATAGAAAAAAGACCACTCAGATTCTGCTTCAATTGGATCAGCTCGTACCAACTCCATAACCCCCAAAATTCTAAAGTTGGATTTTCCACCGTACAATGGTAAAGAAAGTCCCACCACCTTGATTTGTCAAGCTAAAAATTTCTCTAAGGTCAAACAAATCACCATTGATTGTATGAATCCATTAGCAACACATAATCAAGAAGGAAACTCGTTGTTATGGTACCAACAATTCAAGGAAGACAATCAGGTGCTCATATAGGATCTGATTATGGAGGGGCTGCATCAATTGAGTCAAAATCAATACAAAGATTTCTGTGAGAATCATATTAAATGGAAACAGGTGGGCATGGTTCATGACAATTGTATATTCTTGGCAAGCCATCTTGCTCCATGCTTCAAGGTGCCTAGCTAGCAATTATTTGGTACCATGGGTCCTCTCAGACTCTATGAACACCAAATATAACTGCATACATTATTACGAAGACAAAGAAGTGGATGGCCGTCTCCTTCTTTACCTGAGAAGTTAAAACTTTGGGGACAAAGTTTTTTAAAAGGAGAATGGAATGTTATGTACCTATGTTCTATATATTTATTTTATGCAATATTATATGTAGTTAACTAGTTAATTGAAGGATATGTAGTAGTGAGTTAGTGATAGAGAATTTTGTGGGTAATTTTCTTGTTGGTTACTAAGATAGTAAAGACTTTTCTATCAATAGAAATGACATGTTGAATATTGTATTAAATTTTCTTACCAAAATTTTGGAGATAGGTTCTTCTCGAATTGAGTCATTGGAAGTTTCCACCCCCTTGAAGTGGTTTTCTTTCCCGATTCTGTTTTTCATTTATTTTCTAACTTCCTAAAAGTGTGCACATAACAATGTTTGTACCACTTCTAAGTGTTGAAGGAAGAGGGTTGTTTTATATAGTTAACAAGAGAAAATTAGCAAGAGGGTTTCCCTCTAAAACCCCTCACTTTTTTATTTCCACCAAATACCCTTCAGGCAACATCACGTGAAGGATAGGTAACAATTTCCGTCAAGGAAGTCAACGATCCGTCAGGTGAAGGACCATTTAAATACAAATTATATATTTTAAGGATCAAATTGATAAAATTAGAACATTGGTGATCAAATTGACAAAAAATACATACTTCGCGAACTAAAAGTGCTATAAACCCTTATTTCTTAGTTGTTTTGACACTAACTACATGTATTTATTTGTGAATATTGGGTCTGAGTCCTCTTTAAGGGACTTATAATGAGTTTGGTTCGTCAAAAAAATTTATTTGGAAATAAGTTCGTTTTAATCTTACTAATAAGTAATTAAAACCACTACCTTTTTAAAACTTCAAAATACCCTTCTTTGAAATCAATTTTAAATTAGTTTCCTAATTTAGGAATTGTTATCTGTTAATTCACTATCAATGAAGATATGACAATAAATTTTTTATATAAATTTGAAATTCAAATTCAAAGAATAACTGATACTCTCTCTCTCTATATATATGTGTGTGTGTGTGTGTGTTATTTTTATTTTTTGATTTTGAATGTAACTAATTTTTTATTTTTGAATGCTTCATGTTACTTTTCTTTTTACCATGTTATTATTCATATTATTGTTTTTGTTAGGTATGTTACTATTTTTATTGAATATGTTACTACTGTTATTTTCTCAAATATTAATACTCAATGTTATTTTTTTTTTATTTTTGAATATTACTATTTTTTGTGTTTAAATGTTACTATTTTTTTTTGTTTAAATGATACTACTTTTTGTGTTTGAATGTTACTATGTATAAATATACATATATATGAGAGAGACAAATAGTAATATTTTATATATGGATATAGATAAATATGAGAGACAGAGAGAATTTTAATATTAATCAAACTCCTAAAATTTAGAAGTTGTTAGTTTTCAAATTTGTTTTAATTAAACATAACTACTGGGGGGGGGGGAGTTTTTGGATAATGGAGATCAAAATAGACTTAATATTAAACAAGTTTCCTTGATGAACTTATCATCAAATAAGTCCACAAAGAGGGAACGACTGCCAAATTTTCCTATTTATTAATTGTGTGTGTGCGCTGGTCGTTGCGCATAGCCTATAAACTAGAGGTTTAGCTCAAAGAATCTCTTATTTAGCAACTATACCCACCACTTATACGTCAACATAGTCTAAAATTTTGGTTGATCAATATATTAACAAAATCGGGTAAATAAACACTCTAATTTCATGAGGATTCATATAATGCCTCATTAAAAAACAAGACAAAATTAGATATTTTATTTTTTACATTTAGCATAAGAAGGTATTTGTTTGATTGCATCCAACAAGGGTATATTAATTTTGGCTTGCTAGAAAATCTCTAAAATATCATTGTTTAAATTTGGCTTAGATGGGGCGAGTAATCTTCGAGGAAAGAGAGCAAAAATCAAATATCTCAAGGGCTTTATAGAATCAAGCTAGTCAAGTTTATCACCCTTATCCGTATGTTTTGAAAATTCTTCAGACTTTTGGGCCTTTGTTGGAATTATTTTATCAATTACCTTTCCACTGCGGAGTGTAGTAATAGACTTGACCTGCGCATGTGAAGTCTCAGATGAAGTAGCCTCATCCACATTAAACTGACATTGTGGATTTAACTTTGGATGTGTCAAAAACTTACATTTTCCTTATGGCACGGGGTAGTGGTTATCTTTGTGAGGGTGCTTCTAATGACATTAAGAGTTTGAGTTGTTTGATTATTAAATGTGGTCTGACTTTGCACGGATTGTTGCAATGAAAACACAACATCGTCAAGTTCCTCTTTGGAGGTGGAGTGTAAGAAACAAAATTAGATGGATGTTAAGGAGGTGGTTGCAGTGCAATATTGACATTCTTCCAACTAAAATTGAGATAATTTTTTCATCACGTATTGTAAGTATTTGAATAGGGATTATCATAAGGCTTACCAAAATTATTCATAGCATTTGCTTGGTCATTTAAAACTTTTTTAAATGCAGGAATAGTGTGACACTTCTTTGTAGGGTGACCTAAGACCTCAAAAAAAATACAAACCTCCTCTTGAGGAACAACCTATACTTCATTAAACTTTCTAAATTTCATGGCCTTGACTTTTCTAATAATGTAACAATTCTAGCACCTAGCTTATCCTTCTCTCTCAACTTATATCTACTAACAACAGATGAAGCACCATGAGTTTTATTTCTAGAAGAAGTTTCAGGGGATAAAGTATCCCAAGATTGTGCACTTTCAGCCAGATTATCAAAATAATCAAATGCTTCATCAGGTTCTTTAGTTATAAACTCACCATTATACATTATTTCAACAAATTGACGCATCGGGGTAATAAACTTTCGTATAAAAAAAACTTATGATGTGCTCAGTTTTCATAACCATGATGTGGATAAGATGTAAGTAGGTCTTTAAAACGATTCCCATTACTGATAAAAAGTCTCATTCTCTTTTTGTGAAAAATTCATAATTTGTTTTTTTAAAGAATTTATGTGGTGTATGGGGAAAAAAAATTTCAAAAATTCTTTTTGCATCTCCTGCCATGTGCCAATGGATCTAAATCT